CTCCATCTAGATGTGGTCCAGAAAAGACTCTCCCCACCCAGTCCCCAGGACACCGAGACCACAGGAACAAGAATTATGACTGAAGACCTTCCCAAGGAGCCTGAGATGCTCACAGCAGGTGGAACTGACATTACAGTCGTCTGAGTCAGGCCTTTTCCTGGTTACTGCAGGTTCCCAAGAGCGAGTGCAACCAGGCCGATGTTCCCCTTACTATTCTCGAAGCCTCTAGCTCAGCCTGAATCACTTCACCCTCCAACCCCAAAAGCTGTGGAATGTGTGCATGCGTGAGCATGCATGTGTGTGCATGTGTGTGTGTGTGCGTGTCAGTGTGGGTGCACACGCGCGCGTGTGCATGCATGTGCGGAAGCCTCCAACGACTCCATTCACAGAGGAGGGACAGAATCAGGCTGAATTTGGGAATGTTACTCTGGCCACAGCATGGGGTGGGACAAGGCCAGCTCAATAATCACACGAGAGAAGGCAAGAAGGGGTCTGCAGGAGGTGGTTAGAGGTGGAGGTGGACAGGAGGAGAGAGACGCGAGTTCTAGAACCGCAGGAGCGGAGTCCCGCGGGGAGACTCGGGTTCTAGAACCGCAGGAGCAGAGTCCCACAGGGAGACTCGGGTTCTAGAACCGCAGGAGCAGAGTCCCAGAGGGAGACTCGGGTTCTAGAACCGCAGGAGCAGAGTCCCAGAGGGAGACTCGGGTTTTAGAACCGCAGGAGCAGAGTCCCAGAGGGAGAGTCGGGTTTTAGAACCACAGGAGCAGAGTCCCACAGGGAGACTCGGGTTCTAGGACCGCAGGAGCAGAGTCCCACGGGGAGACTGTCCCCCCAGGGCCCCGGGCCGGCTCCGCCTAGGGGTCTCTGTGACTACCGTCCCCTCAGGACCCCGGGCCGGCTCCGCCTAGGGGTCTCTGTGACTACCGTCCCCTCAGGACCCCGGGCCGGCTCCACCTAGGGGTCTCTGTGACAACTGTCTCCCCAAGCCTCCAGCAGCTCCCTTTGCCTCCGCTTCTCAAGGAGGCTGCTGGCGTCTGCCGCTGCTCCTGGGGTCCCTCACGGTCCTTTCTCTCTGGCATCTTTCTCTTCTGTCATC